GGGGGGAAATAATGATCTGTGATTACGGCTATTATTAGGTCTGTCTCCTGGTTGTCTAGGCTATATTCACTTCATTATCTAATTAAAATTTTTGTTACCACAAGGTTAGGATGGTGAGGTCCCAGGTAACATCAAAGTATTGAGGTTGGAGGGAAGAGAGGTGAGGAGAACTGAGTGGACCTGAGACATTTACCTGTGCATTTATTAAGTTTGAAATCTAAAGATGACTTACTAATACAAATCTCTGTTATAGGTCCTTAAGTTTTATATCTGGGTGCTAGGAATCATTTTAACTATCCATATCGTAACAGAGGTATTTGTCATCTTCTAAATAGTTCATTTTACATACCCTTCAATTAGATTTAACCTCTCAACAACTACTTAGCATGATGTCCCTCTTCAAGTGAAAATTCTACTGAACTAACCATACTTGCTCACTGCTGTAAGGAAACGAACAAAGCACTGCTACTAAATATAGAAGCACTTTTATAGCACATGGCAATGCTATCTAATGACTGATAGCAGGCTATGAAAAATAATCTACCCTGGTATTTAAAATGTCAGAAAAGCAATCCAAAAAAAAAATCAGAATCTACAGAGGAGAATATGTCAATGATTGATGAGGCTTTGCAAATCACACCAAGTATTAGGGAAGCTGAAAATTATCTAATAGTAAAAGGATTCTGAGAAAAAACTGAAATCCTAGTGTGACTGTCACTATCTGATCAAGAAAACAGAAAACTTAGGCAACAGAGGTTGTCTACCGTTTTATTTTTATTTTATTCTGATGTATGTATATTCATTATTACACAGCTTTTTCTTTTTCTTTTCTTTTCCTTGGCCCTGGGGCTTGAATTTAGGGCACTGGGCCTCTTTGTGCACAAAGCTAGTGCTCTACCACCTGAGCCACAGCACTACTTCTGGCTTTTTCTGAGTAGTTTATTGGAGGTAAGAATCTTACAGACTTTCCTGCCTCAGCTTGCTTCAAATCATGATCCTCAGATTTCAGCCTCCTGAACCACCAGTGCCTAGCTGGACACAGAATTTTCTAAGATGAAAAAAATATACAGTCTAGAACATGGATGAGCCAACCAGCTCTTCTGATAGAATATTAGGAAAATGATAGAATCATCACCACTACATCAATCTCATTTCCATGATCCACATCACTAAATCAAGTCACAAGTGAACCACAAAGCTTGATGTCTGTCACATCACTACATCAAGTCACAAGTGAACCATAAAACTTGATGTCTCTCACGCTTTCAACCCTATCCAATGGGATCTGATCTAGACACCGATTATAGACACTAAGAAAAGCAAAAGGCGCTTAAGTATACAAGTAGACTGCCAAATCACAAACCTATTTTGCTATTTTAGTTTTCTACAGTGTTGTTTCTCTTTTTTTGAGACTACAACCTGATAGAAACAAAAATACGTTGGGACTTATAATCTATTTTTAAGTTTAACTGTAATCCCACAGTTTTTTTTTAAATATCAGACTTAGAGATAAGTTGCAGGATTTTTTTTTAATTCCCATATTCCTTTCCCAAGTTTCACCAATTTGTAAAAAAAAAAAAAAAAAAAAAAAAAAAGCCCCATTTATTTTTTTTCTCTTTCTCTGGTTTTCTCCTCCTTTCCTTCCTCTTTCCCTTCTCTCTCATTGTACACACACACACACACACACACACACACACACACACACACACACACACACACACACACACACACACACACACACACACACACACACACACACACCTAAATGTGTCAGTGCTTTTTCATACAATGCTATCCTCTAATACTCAGTTTATCTTCGTATTTCATGTAATGTCCCCAAAACATGCAAATTTTCCCCTGGTCCAGGATCCAATAGGATCACTTGGCACTGGCCTGTTTTTTGTCTTCAGTTCCCTTCCCCCTGGACAGATCCTCAGCCTCACTTTGTCTTTCAAACCCTATCTCTTAAGATGCCTATCTAGCCAGGAGATTTGCCCTGGCTGGCAGAATTCAAAAAGAGAAACGTGTCTTCTCTAATTATTGCTATTGAAAAGTTCTGATATTTCTGCAGCTTTTATCCAATGTTATAGGTAATCTAGCGATGTAAATGGGTTATATGACAATATTAAGCCATTTTCTATCAAAGATTTGATCATTCAAAAAAACAAAAAGATAAACATGGCACTTGACCACTAAATACCCTCAGCCCATCAGAAAAGAAAGTTGAGCAAGAAATGAGGAAAGGCACCATTGTAGAATTGAGTTTGGTTCCCCTCATTTTAATCAGCCCCTCTTGGACTTCTATCTGTTGCCAGAATAACACTGGGGAAAAGACATGTATGAAGTAAGACACTGATCCAAGGCTTGTTCAGATCTTTCCAACGAGAAGGCTCCTAAGTGGACATCCAAAATTCACGAAGAAAGAACAAGTATGTACATGAAGATGTATATACTATCCACTGTTACTGATTAAAAATAAACATAAACATAAAAATAAACAACACTGCAAGTTTGATAGCAGCTAGACTTCAGAATCTGTGGTCCTTTTTTAAAAATAAATAAAGAAATAACAAGCTACAATTTCACAGCATTTCAGAAAACACTGGCAGGTGTGAGGCCCAAAGATCAGTGCCTCCTTCAGCCTCTCTAGAGCTTTCCAAACAAAGCAATCCCTTGATAGCATGGTTCCGTCCTGACTTTAAATGTGTTAACTTTTTGAAGAAGACAAAACATTGAAACCTTAAACATTAAACCTGAGAGAAACCTTCGAAATAGAGAAACTGTTAACCAATGTCCTTTCCCGACTCATGCCCTTCTTGATTACTGGGAGAGAAAAAGGCGCTTAACCAGCACAGGATAAACAAATGTGTCATGCAATACTTAGCAGATACATAGTAAAAATAACAAAGCTTCTGTTGGGAAATACGTTCAGTCTGCCTGATCTGTGACCTATGATCAATGTTCTTTTCCGATGTCACCTCCCCCATCCCATAGCTCTTGCAGCTCTCTAGCGCAAACACCCACATCCCTCTTAATAGCATCAAAACTTGTTGAAACTGAAACAGTCATAACTACGTTTCTATTTTAACTCACGATGGCAAAGAAGAGAGTGTGGTTCTTAATTCTCATTCCCTTTCTCCCCTGTCCTATACCACTTAACACCAAGCACTGGCGCCAAGCAGTAAGATTTCTGCAGCAAACATAATATAGATCCTTGAAAACCTAGTTCATCAAACCATTCAACCATGACACTTTCCACAAGAATGCAAAATGTCATGCTTTACAGAAATATAAACACAGTTTTCACTATCTAATATGAACTAGAAACAGACATTTCATATTGTAGCTTTTAAAAAACAGGTTTGTATTTCTCAGGTGGCTAGAGTTAGATCATTTCAGTAAGCAAAAGGCATTATGAAGCAAACAATGCAATAACTTTAACGCTAAAACCTTCCAGCAGGAAAGGCCTTGCTTATAGCTGACTTCGTTCACATCGTCTTTTCCCCAGCTAAAGCTAAAGGCCCCTTTAGAGCAATGGGCTACATTACCAGGGCATCAGAAAGAGGTGACTAGAAGGCAAGAAGCAGACTACATTTGATACTCCTAATTTGAAAACATAGGAAAATAGACACAACCATTTTCTAAACTCCTAAAAAGAGAAGCATGAGCCACTGTGGTGAGCCTAAACTCAAGTTTCAACCCCAAATCCTGTAAAACCTTGCACCAAGCAGTCAGAAATGGTCCTTTTGGGAAGAGAAACATTTGCGATTGTGTTATTTTCTGACTGAGGTCTTCCAGTCTTTGGGGTGGTAACTAAAGCATAAGAAATACTTAAGTGCAGAAACAAGCAAACAGGTTTCCAGGCTCTAGGGCAACCCAGTATGAGGTTAAGAAGTAGATGAAAGAAGTCATTCATTTCAATCCTTCAGTTTTCTACTGACGCTCTCCAAAGATAAGTGGAAATCACAGACTTAGACCACTCTGGAGATGGATAGGTTGAGCTCACCTAGCACTTATTGGTAGAAAGGACTTGAAATCTCCAGAGAAAAGTATTTCCCATACAGGAAAATAAACCCCGCCACCCATCACCTGATCTGAAGGTCACGTGACACTGCTTTCTGTACAGAGCCAGCCACTCAGAACTGCCATGCTCCCACCTACGCCAGCACCCCTGGCGTATCAGAGTCAGGACAAAAAAAAAAAAAGGAAGATCCCCAAAAGAACTGCAAACAAAGAGGTACTTTTTTAAACAGAAAAGCTGTGAGGTTCTAGGGCAGAAAGTATTCCTGCTACATCATCCTAAAATTGAGATGGCTTTCTATAGTTTCTGTCCTGGAAGGCACATGCGAATCAATGCTGCATGGAATTCAGTACAGCTCTCACACCCCAAGACCTCCAGATAGTACCACAGGATGGCTCAGTTGTCTTAAGGTTGCAGAATTCAGTGCCATTTAGAACAGTACTTTCCACCTTGTTGGAACCATCCAAAACAAAAACAAAAACTAGAAGATGCCTACTTGTGTCTCCAATATGTACATTTCTCCAGACCCAGGCAGGGCAATTCAGTAGAAATTTCAATGATGGTCAAGAAAGTGACCTCTGCACTGTAGAATCCATCACAAGTTCAGCTTTAACCCAGGGTCTCCCAGAAATAACAGGGTATGACTTTAAGAGCCAAATGAGATCTTTTCAGCTCAGAGTTAGGGCCAGAGAAATTCAGATAATAGGAAGCAAAGAGCGCTCACGGATGAACAGCTAGGAAAGTAAATAGTTCTGTTAGAATGTTGTTGCTTTTTTTCCATCTGCAGGAAAATGGCAAGCATAGTAACTTGCGCTCAAAAGTCTTGAGCAGAGTTAAAGTACGTGAAGACAAGGATTGCATCTCCATTTGCCACAGCTCTTCAAATCGCCCAAACAGAAAATAAACCACTGGTGCCCTTCCTCTTCCCCTCCCCTCTTTCCCATCCTCTGCCAACCAGACACACACATAGTTAAAATACCGAGTATATTCGCGGTACACTGGAGGATTCCTGAGACGTCTTCAACTTCCTCTTTGTTGGAATGGTCCGAATAGGAGCATCTGTTAGAGATATTGTGGAAGTTCTTCTCAGCATCCCTATAACTAAGAGGAAAGTAAAAATCAGCAGATGGAGACATTTTTGAAAGTATTTGCAAATGCACTCATACATCTAACCAAGCATACATAACCTGTGGGTATCTACACTTTGAGAGTAATTATACTTTAAAATGCCTAGTAAGAAAACATACCTTTCCAAGACCTTGTATAGCATATTTATTTTGGCTGCCATCCTCCCTGTCCTTATCTATAATGTGAGCTCACTGCAATTGACCTATGAACTGCCTGCGTAGAATTAAATAAGGCAGGTAGTATACTCAGCAATATTTCTTCAAACACAGTTAAGCAGCGGATAATGTAGCAGTCTAACTTGTTATTGTTCAAAAAATATATAGTTCTTTACTGTAAATAGATGGAAGAGAAGCTAATTTACAGCCAAAAAAAATCTGATCATGGGAGCCTAAGCAATATATCTGAAGTTTGTTTCCAAACTAACCAGGTCTCGCCCACTCTTAATTGCACTTCCAACATTCTATTGGGATTATTTTGGTTTAATTCCTCATGCATTGTCAAAAGGAAAAGGATAACAGAAGGTTGGCTGTGTAAAACAAACATTGAACCCACAGTGATAATCAGAGTGGTAGAATATAATTTCAAATGACTACAGGAAACACTACTCTCATTTTCTTCTTCGTGATGGTTTTGAGACCAGGGTCTTGTTATGTAGCCCAGGCTGGCCTGGAACTCACAATCCTCTGTCTCAGGTGTGTTGGGATCATAGATATGCACCACCAAGCCCACACCCAGTTCCTAACACAACGATGAGGCAGAGTCTGGATTCGCATTCTTTAAGCTGTATTGGTTAAGTTAGCTAATGGATGAGCAAGAGATCTCAGCAATACTGATTATCATGTGTTTCCCAAGGCTGCTTACTAAGGAAATCCATCTACACTGCTCTGTCACAATAGCACAGTCATGTACCAATAGGAATCAGGCAATGTAAATGTGTGTAGTTAAGTCAGGCACTCAGAGGACAAAAATTGAGATTGCAAATAAATAATCAAAAGTGAAAGTAATTAGCAAGGAGAAAAATAGCTGTAATATGAACTAGCTATGTCCAGCTACTGAAGTTAAACAACTAAATTCTAGACAGCCAAGAAAAAGAGAGAAAAGAAAGCAAGAAGAGAAAGAGAAAGACAATAAGTTCAAAACTACAGTGCCAAATAGGTACCAAACATGGGGTTAAGAATGCAACCAGCAATTGTTGCATTCTTAGTTGTAGTGGGAACTGTAATAAGTTGTTTACTTGATTATGAAGCATGCTCATAAAGCCTAGTAATGGTAAAGCATGATTATCTTAGTCATGTCCTCAAGGTTTCATTGAAACTTTACTCTAACCCTGTTGTTCTACCCCACTCTTTTATGTGTGTTGGTCTTGGAGCTTGAACTCAGGACCTGGACTCTATCCCTCGGTCTTTTTACTCAAGGCTGGCATCCTACCAGTTGAGCCACACCTCACATTCCAGCTTTTTTGCTGGTTGGAGATCAGAGTCTTACAGACTTTTCCTGACCAGGGTGGCTTCAAACCATGATCCCCAGAGTCAGCCTCCTGAACGTCTAGAATTAAAAAGCATGAGTCACTGGCACCCAGCTGTAACTACCAGAGTTAGAAGGTAGCTTGGGCAGAAAAGTCTGTGAGACTAACCAGCTAAAAGCTGTGCTAGAGCTGTGTTTCAAATAGTAGAACATCACCAACCAAGTCAACCCAAGCAAGTGTGAGACCTTGAGTTCAAACACTAGTACAGTCTAACAAACCAAAATATAACCTGCACTTTTTCTTGTCTCTAGTTAAGGGATGAAGACAGCTACACGAACAAGATGCCAACGTTGGCACCAATGTGCTACACACCACAACCTTGTGTACTATAAGATCAGTCTCACACACAAAGGTAGCATATTAAGGATATATGGAAAACAAAGGTAACTAAAAGCTCTTGCCGGGTGCTAGTGGCTCAGGCCTGTAATCCTAGCTACTCAGGAGACCAAGATCTGAGGTTCGTGGTTGAAGCCAGCCCAGGCAGGAAAGTCCATGAGACTCTCATCTCCAACCAACTACTCAGAAAAAAGCCAGAAGTGCCACTGTGTCTCAAGTGATAGAGTGCTAACCTTGAGCCAAAGAAGCTCAGGGACAGAGCCCCATGCCCCAAGTTCAAGCCTCAGGATTTGCAAAAAAAAAGGTGGCGGGAAGGTGGCAGTACTACAACTATGAATTTTACAACTCCATGAGAGATGAAGATCCCCGTAGAGATGAGATGGATCACAGAGCATAAATAAATGATTCTAGGACTCTTCCCCGATGCAAGTGATCTCTGTGAATACATAAATGAATAAGTGCATAAATTAAGGAGTAGAATTAATGTTTAAAGACAATGAAGATGAGGCACAGAGAGGTTATTTTACTCCCTCCCAATCCTCTCTCTGGGAGACTTTGAATAGCTTAGAAGCTTAGAACACTATGCTAGAGCTCTGACAGAGAAATTGGATCTAAGGGCAAGTTTGGGGAAAGGAATGGAAACTAGGGAAGGCCCATGGTTGAAGGGTGTAAATTAAGAAATTCAAAAAGAGAAGGGCTACAACCCCTCTGTATTTTACCTTTACAATAAAATTTGTTAAATAAAAAAAGAGGAGGGCTAGTTCAGTTACTCTGTTACCTGTCCTGACTCCATACAATACCTAAAATGAACTGTTTTAAGACAGGCCTTAGGCAAAACCCAATGTCAGAAATAGGAAAACATCTGCTTCAATCCCCCCCCCCACACACACACACCTCTACAAATAAGACAAATCATGTTTATCAGCACTTACCCTCCATTGCCTGAAATCCCCTAACTGTAAGGAAACACATTCCTTATCACGGAGATTAAAAAGCCTTAAATTGTCTTTTCTTCAGAGGAAAAACATATAGGTGTGAACGCCTTTTAGTTGAGGTGTTAGTGACATTAGTTGCTCGGCTTTTTCAGTTTTTAAAGAGACATAGAAAGCAGAGCCAATGCAAATAAAAGCAGTGAATGAAGGTTCCTAGACCCCAGGAAGTTAGCCAACACCCAAAAATAGGCTCATAGGCCTATCTGGATCCAATGGGACATGGAGATACCTCCTTATACTAGAGTCAAATTACCCTTACTCTTTTTGTTGTGTTTGCCATGAGCAAAACCAGGAAAGAAACTTTCAGAACAAAAACTGCCACAGAGCATGTCTACACAGAGAGCAGCAAAGTTGAGGCAACCACTCTGCTAATTATCACAATACAGGTTGGTTATCTATTTATTTCAGTCATCCACTATAGCGCAGTGTGATGACTCACACCTGTAATCCCAGCTACTTGGGAGGCGGAGATCAAGAGGATCTCAGCTTAAAGCCAGCCAGAGAAAACAGCAAGACCTTCCCTCAACCAACAAATCAGGTGTGTAGTTTACGCCTATAATCCTAGCTACAAAGAGGCACAGGTAGGAAGAGAGTAGTTGGAGCTAGCTCCAAGAAAATAAATGCAATACTCTCTCCAAGAAATGAACAATAGCCCAAAGGGGCTGGGGTTCTGGCTCAAGTGGCAAAGCACCTGTGTAGCAAACATGAGATCCCAGTTTCAAACCCCAGTACTGACAAAAGGAAAAAGAAAAAGAGTCCCAATTGCCCTTGAAGACTTAGTTTAGTTCACAGATAAGACTATATCGTTAGTTATTGGTTCTCAAAGTAGAAAGAATGTTCATAACCCCAGAAAAATGATTTAAGTTGAGGGGCTGGGAAGGTGGCTCAGTGGTAGAGTGCTTGCCTTGCATGCCTGAGGCCCTGGGTTCGGTTCCTCAGCACCACATAAGCAAAAAGAAAAAAAGCCGAAAGTGGGCTGTGGCTCAAGTGGTAGAGCGCTAGCCTTGAGCTGAAGAGCTGAGGGACAGCGCCCAGGCCCAGAGTTCAGGCCCCACGACCGGACTCCAAAAAAAAAAAAAAAGATTTAAGTTGAATGACTGGTGCTGTCCTAAAAATATTATGAATGGCAACAAGAGTGAACATAAGAGCAAACAAATATTCAGTATTGAATATATCAGATGGAGAACATTTTTTGTCAGGGGATATTTGGGAAGTGATGATGGCTAGTATTGGTGTTTATATTGCTATGCAAAAGCTCCCATATTAATTGAATTTTGAGTCCTGCCTACCATTGCCTTGGCAGGGTGATTTTGAGGGTCTTATTTTGTTAATAGGCCAGAGGGTCCCCACAGTAGGAATAGCTCTAAGTGTATTATCTACTGCGATCTATACACCATACTTTTCAAAGTAGCAAACTCAATGAGAGTGATTAAGTTTTATTTTAGAATGTGTGGGGAAAGATTAATTTGACATTCTTTAGCTCCATTAGGATAAACCGTTTGAAATCACTAATGGCCTCAAACTAAAAGCCATCTCATGAGTTTAAATAGTATGTTTTTGCTAGTACTGCACTCTTGAGAATTAGCCTGACAAAGTTTCAAAGCAATTCCCTTTGAAATGACAATTAACATAATCATCAAGCACTTACAGTTATGTGGCATTGTACTAGGTACTGGAATTATCTTTCCATTGGTTTCCTTCCCTTTAATTTTGTTTAAAAATGAAAAAACAACTACCAATCATGTCACATCGCCATAGCCTAAACCATGCTCCTGATGTCCATGGCAAAGACTTACCCAGAGTATAAAATGATTCTTGATGATATTTCAGGACAAGCCAGAATTTGAACCTTAATTCCCCACAAAGACAAATGCACATAAAAAACACTAACAAGGTGACTTTTTTAAAATGGACTTCAATGTCAATGAATTTAATCTTTATAGCTACGTTATTCAAGAAAGTAACTTTTATATGTGTTCACCATTTTCTACTAGAGTCAGCCCAAAGTACTTTCATTGAAATTAGCCTATTTAGTCATGATATGTAAACCTCCATTGAGTTATCATTATCATCATCATCAACACCATCATCACATTTTACAAAAGAAATAAAGTTACTTATTGAAAATTCTATGTGTGCTTAAGCTATGAGCTATGTGCCAGTAGCTCATGCTTATAATCCTGTCTACTTAAGAGACTTGATCTGAAGATCAAGGTTCAAAATCAGCCCTGTGGCAGGAACATTTGAGAGACTCCTATCTCCAACCAACCAGCAAAAAAGTGGGAAATGGAAGCATGGCCCAAGTAGTAGAGTACCAGCCTTAAGTACAAAACTCCTCAGCACAGAACCCTGAGTTTGAGCCCCATGATCACACACATAGACATACACACAAAGTTCTATGCACTGATAAGACTTTGAATTCCCATCTTTGGACATTAAATCTGACTTCACACTCTATGATAAGAACTTGGAGAAATGGGAAAATGAAGAAAATAGGTAGCAGCACAAGACTGTAGCTCCATTAGTAATAATCCTTGAAGTGTTATTATAATTGAATTCTACATATAAGTAGAATAAGTGTTATTATAATTGAATTCTCCCATTCATAGCCCCCCCAGTAAGACTGATAACCCTTATAACCATCATGAGGCAAAATTACGAGATTCAATCTTGAAATTTTAAAGGACAGAAAGCAAAAAGGGAGGGGAAAACAATATCAAAAGGGGATGTCACTTAATAGAATTAAATTCACAGTAGCTCATGCCTGTGATCCTAGGCTACTCAGGAGGCTGAGATCTGGGAATCACAGTGTAAAGCCAGCCCTGCAGTGAAGTCTGTGAGACTCTTATCATGAATTAACTACCAAAAAGCTAGAAGTGGAGGTGTGATTCAAAGTGTTGAGGGAAAAACCTCAGAGACAGCACCCAGGCCCTGCATTCAAGGCCCAGGACTGACTGGTGCATGTTCTCACACATGTGTGCAAACACATACACAAGAATTCATAAACCAAAGGGAAGCACTCCAAGGGACCCACTTTGTCCCCACCCCACACTTTGAGAACTCTGCCAATGTGAAAAGGAGGCTCAGGACACCAGAATAACCACACGATCCCAGCTGTGTTTGAGGAAATTCACTCTAATTTGTCTCCCTTAATGACCAAAATCCATTTTCTACTCACCCAATCACTTGATGCTCATAATATTGCAGCGTCCTTTTGAGAGTCTGCTGTATGGTCTGAGGCTATGGGATAAAACAAGAATAGAGAGATCAGCAAAACAGCACCATTCCCACGCTGGCCGGCAGGGAGCTTCTGAATTCTCTCCGAGAATTTTCACCCCTTTTGCACCAGGCCAGGCATTTTCTCCAGAGCAACTAATGAAACACTCTGCAATTGGCCCAAACTTTCCCAATGTGTACGTTGGCAGGATTTCCTGGCTTTTTAAACTTTTTTTCATTTTTCTGAAGCAGCGGCTGAGGTCAATGAAAAACCCATCGGCTGCCAGGTAGCCTGGAGCAGCAGAGGGCAAGAATGTACAACAGACACACAGGTGATGGTTCTTCATGACCAGTATGTACAGTCTGGGTCAGGTAATGACCGACTGAAGTTTTAGCTTTTAGAAAAACATTCAAGAAGGATCTGAAAGGCAAAAGTAAATTGAGTGAAAGTAATCAACTTTCTTTTTTTTTTTGGTCTGATGTATTCACTCGTTGGCTGGCACTTGACCACCTGAGCCAAGCCCTAACCCCCTCAACTTTCGAGTAGGCTTTCTGTCAGATGATCCCGCCCAGGATTGTTAATTGACATCAGAGATGACCAATAGAGAGATTCAGGTAGGACCAGAAGCAGGGGGTCCAGATCCCACAGCCTCAAAGAGCAATCAGCCTGACTTTCTTGGTATCAAAGAAATTGTTTCCTCTGATGTCTCCTATTTGTCTTCAACCACCCCTCCCCCCTTAAGTAGCTCATGACTGACTTGTATAATCTAGCCCATCTCATGATGGTTCAAGATAGTTTTTTTTTAATTTTTGATCAAGAAATGATTTTCAGACTTACTCAGGCAGCAGGGCTGAGATTTGGGGTTTTAAACTTAGCCATAAATGGAGCACAAACAACCCAGAACACAGATTTTTCAGTGAGAAGTCATGATAAGAACCGACTGATTTCCCAAGAGCAAGAAAGCAACTATCTTAAATAATAAAAACCCTGTTGTCCATCAAGTAGGGAAAATCCATCAAAAGAGTACACTAAACATTGGTTCATTATAACCCAGGAAGAGTTGTAGGGAAATGTGGGTATAATACACACCCTTCGACGTTTGAGACACTGCCACAGCTTGATGATCTCATGAGCTTTAGCTAATCAATTACTCCAATGTAGTCCCTCTAAAAAGTAGAAAAGTTCTAACTAAGATGTAGTTGATAAAGATAAATTCTGAGCCTCAAGTCCTTTAGAGTGATTGCCATTTTTCGCTTGAACTCAGGGCCTTGCACTTGCTAGGGTCTTGTTTTCGACCCAGGCATTTACCTGGACCATGATTGGCCTATTTATGCCTGCTTCAAAGAATGAATGACATATCATTCTGTCAAAGCAGAGTAAAGAAATGGCAACCCTGAGCCAAGAAAACCATAAGACCCACAAAGAAGATGACATGGGAAGTCGGTGTGGCACACATCCAGCCCAGGGTAGCCCAAGTGAAGTCCTTTCCATCCTTGGCTTCCCTGGCAGTCCCAAGCTAAGCAAACTCCCTCTAACTGCTCTAACTTAACACCTCTGCCAAGGTGCCAGGGAGCAAACAACTCTCCTTCCTACTTGCTCTGGACACAAAACACAGGTTTTCTAAAGAAAGCAGAAACTAACATGCACAGGGCCAATGGAGCCTGGGATGACCTGTGTACAAATGTCTTTTTTTTTTTTCCTAAAGGACATTTTCTTTCCGAGACTAGACTTTTCCCAGTCATGACAAAGCGCATGTTTGTGAAAGGAGCAAAGCTCTGAAAAGGAACTTCCTTCTTGTGGGAAGCAATGACTTCCACACTCAGACAGGGTTAAGTGTGTAGTTTACAAATACATTTAAAGGAAATGTTCCTTAAGCACAGGCGACTGAGCTTGAAGTTGGCACTGCATTTATATAGATCCTCTATCATACTAAGGCCAGGGGAGCCCCCAAACTCAAGCACATGGGCTAACAATATAGTATCTCCTGCCAGCCAAGGCTAGCTTCCACACTATATATTATGGGCCTCCATAATATATCATCATGGGTTCTTTCCAGTCTTCCTTGACTTGTGTCTGATGGCCTGGAACCACAGCTTTATCAGTGTCATTCATCTTCCATAATCTCAGGGCATGAAGACCCACAAATAGGCCCAATCCTCCTGCAGGGGTGACTCCTGTCTAGTTCTCCAATCAGCCAGTAATGCAAGGCAATGCAGACTGTGGGGGAAGCAAGGGCTTTGAAGAGCCCGGCTCTTTCATCTGCTCCTTTGACAACATAGCTCCTTGGCTGACCCCAATACAGGCAGTATCCCACCCCGCAGACACATCTCTCTGTTCTTGTCCTGAAGAAGGAATTCAGAAAAACAAAATGGCTGCGGATCAAACTGAGTTGAAAACTTAAGCTGTAGCTGGGCACGAGTAGCACGTGCCTACAATCATAGCTACTCAGGAGATTGAGATCTGGGGATGAGGGTTCGAAGCCAGCCTGGGCAGACAAGTCTGTGAGACTCTTCTCCAATTAACCAGCAGAAAGCCAGAAAGGGGGGCTGCTCAAGTGGAAGAGCATCAGCCTTATAAAAGCTAAGGGATAGCATCCAAGCCCCAAGTTCAAGCCTTAGTACTGGCAGGCAAGCAAACACACATACACACACACACACAACACACAACACACACACACACACACACACACACACACACACACAAATACATAAAGCTCTTGAATTACAAACTAAATGACTTTACGCAGTGTGCTTTTGATCGCTGTTGAAAAAAATGATTCCTCACATATACATTGTTTTTTATGTGAATTAACTGAAATTCAGCAGAGTCTTTGTCCAAATGTTAAATGATTGTTATGACACTAATCAGCAGAAAACCATTATTTCCTCATAAGTTCCAAAATCTAGTTGAGGAGCCTAAGATTTAGATAGGAAAACCCAGGCAACCAGTCTAATACACACAACAAAACAAAGAACCCACAACAGAGCTACCACTATTTCTAATCCTACGTGCACTGCTTCTCGTAATAAGTCAGTATCAACTCCAGCACATCAAAGAACAAAACAAACCAAAACAGAAAAACAGCACAGGAAGGCAACCCTCCCCACCCCACCACCCCACCTCCACTTCTCTGTAGAACTGAGATGAACATGTGCCCTGTGCAATGACAACTGTTTCACGCCACACGCATGCACGTGTGTGCACGCACACACTTGCCGCTGCCTCTTGCCTGATTCCCACGCCATCTGCTACAGATAGGCAGTGCAGGGCCTGTGGAGGCCTTCACAGGCCTGTCTGAGCCAATGGGTTCGGCTGCTGGGAACGGCGGCCGCTCACACTCTTCCATGATCCTGTCTCTGTCTCTGCTGGGCTGGCTTCATGAGTTGGTTGTGTGGATCCCGTGACCTTTCCTAAGCCTGCCATTCCATCTGTGAGGTCAACCATGGGGCTGGTTCTAAGAGTTATGGAGGAAGCCAGCTTCTCATTGCCACAGGATGGAAGCTTCTGGAACCCTCTGTGTGAGCCCTGGTACAAGACACAGATGGCTGCTCTCTCTTTCCTGCTGTCTCTGTTCCTGTGCATGCGTCTTTGTGTTGAGTTGGGACCCTACCAGGCCACCATGTATAGCATAGGAGGAAGCAGAGGGGAATGATAGACTTCTCTGGTTTTTCTTTTTAAGATAGTCATGGTAGAGTCTGTCTCCCTCCTCCTCCTTGTCTCTTAGAGCCTCTAGGAGAGGCCTATAAAATTAAAGGACCACCTATCTCTCCTGCTCTGTTCTTTGTGTCCAAAGAAGAAGGTCCATTGGTCTTCCATCTTTCTTTTTCCTTTCTTCCTTCTTTTCCCTCCCTTTCTTTCTTCTCTCCCTTTCTTCCTTTCCTGCCTCCTTCTTTCCTTCCTTCCTTCTCCTTCCTTCCCACCCTTGCTCCCTCCCTTCCATCCTTCCCTTTCTGCTTGGGCACTGTCTTTGAGGGTCCTTTTTATTTCTGCCTTTTTGATGGTTAATTGGAGAGAAGAGTCTCACAGCCTTTCCTGCTCAGGATGGCTTCCAACCTTCATCCTCACATCTCAACCTCCTGAGTAACTAAGATTACAGGCGTGGGCCCGCTGTGTGTGCCAGACAGGCACAGTGAATATGCTATGAAATGCAGAGTCTGGCTCTGTGTGGCCCCATCCCACCGGATGCCCTGGATGATCAATTCCACGTTTTTTACATCCTCTGAATCCCTACTCTTATTTGATATTTGCAGCCTTTATTATGCTAATAAGAGCAGTAATCATTTGATGTAAACTTTTTCATTTCTGCTTAGTAACACACACAGACACACAAACACACACACATAGCAGAAGCAGATTTAGTGGAAACAACAGGTTTGTTTTCAAAGAAACATCCGTAAATAGTCCTATTGTTTTACTTATTTCAACATGATACAATTACCTGTCATCGTTTGAAACTAAAAAGTGTGAATATGCACTGCATACTAATATTCTAAGCCAGTCATTTTCAAGTGGGCCTGGGTATTACAGTCTAACACCTGAGTGCCACCCCACCCCCATTTTCAAATCCAATTGGTCTGGGGGACCCAGATGTCTCAAATGTAGACTCAGTATTGAATTGCTTCCTTGAGACATAATCTGAACACTGTCAGTGCTATCTGCCCCTTATCTGACTAGATCAGCAATGATCAGAGTAGCTCATTGCCCAGATAGCAAGAGAAAGATGCTACTGAGGCAGGCTTGATCTTTTTTCTTTAGCAGTCCTGGGGTTTGAACTTGGGGCCTCACACTTGCTAATCAGGCATTCTAACCCTGAGACACTACCAGCCCAATGATGTGTACTAGTAATTGCTGAATTCAGACATAGTCTCATTTATCTGTCACTAGTGGCTTAAAATCAAACATGAGTTTGTTGGATGAATATAGAATTATACTTATATATATTGCTTAAAGCATCAATATATGAATTTTTCTATATGCGTTAAGCTCATTGTATATATATATATATATATATATATATATATAT